AGCGTTGTGTAGCAGAGATTATGGGCCTGGATGATGGACGGGTATAGGGACGCGAAATCGAGGGTTGCAATAGGCACACCGTAGTAGCCCCTGACGGGCTCGATAACAGTGGCACCTTCGTAGTCTTGTTCGTCGTTGGACTTCGTATTCGGAATGACGAGCTGCTGCTCCAAAGCCTTGCGGAACAGCTGACTGATGAATTTGACTTGCTGACCTCGTGACAGCAAAAAGTTGAAGGGAACACCCGTCACTCTTGCCATTTCCGTATAGTTAACCAAGCACATCAGCTTGTCCATCAGTCTCTGCGGCAGATATGCATCCTTCAAGCAGTAGACAGCTAAACGCCGTCTGGAATCGGGTGTTCCGTTGTATAGCTCAGTGATCATTGTGTGATGGACATCCTCCTTCTGTTCGCCCAAGAATTCATAAGACACCGAGTTCAGGGTATAACTTCGCAGGTGATAGTCTCGCTGTACCAACTGAAGCATATCGAGCTGGATTCGACCATTAGTGTTCGTTGACTTCGTGTCACGGTTACCCATCTGCTTGCTGGAGAAGTTGGTTTCCTTGCTTTGCGACTGCACGCCGTTCAATCTGGTCCAGTAGGGGAAGCCAGTGCATTTCAGATGCTTGGCACGATCCAACAGATACGGGAAATCGAAGTTGGCAATGTTGTAGCCGATGATGACATCCGGGTCCACCTTTTGCACGAACTCGCGCCAGGCCATGAGCATCTTCGCCTCGTCCTTGAATTCAAGGATTTGAGTGTTGACGATCAAACTGCATGTGTCCAAAACAAACACATTACGAATGAACGGTTTAGATTCTCCGTAACGGGTTACGACATTGGCGATCTGAATGACTGGGTCGTGATTCGGTTCAGGGAAGATACCCTTCCGTCCAGCGCACTCGATATCGAACGATAGAATGCGCAGCGGGGCCATCTTAGCCCACTCGCCGTTGGGTGGATGTGCAATCAGATCTCGGTAGTCGACACTGGCCTCAATCTGACAATTCGACACTTTCTCATGTTGTTGGAATAGGCGGTACTTCCCAGCCTTTGCTTCAACCCAAGACATGCCCGAGATATCCGTGTCGATCATGAATCTGAGAAGGTATTGGATGCTGTCGAACGTAAGGATTCCGCCATCAGAGTTGTTCCAGAGACCTTTATAGTTCAAGCTTTGGGCACCGCCCTGTTCTAACGCTGACCGGACTTTGCTGATGAATTTGGGATCCGTGACTGTGATCTTGAGGTAATAGCTTTTCTGGTTGCCTTGAAACCCGTAGATGTTCTCTCGCATCGTTATTTGTACGGACTGGATCGTAGGTTGGAACTGTCCGACTCTGCTCTCCAAGAAAGCTCGGTAGGGCTCGCAGTCGTCCTTGGTGAAGTTCACGGGCGCAGCAATGTAGAGATAATGTTGAAATCCGGTAACGTGGAGGAGGACCGATTGGCCGGCCTACACATGGTCATTAGAGCACGATAGGTAGTTAAGGGCGTACGCAGAGCCTACCTCAGTGACACCAAACAGTCGAACGGCAGTCTTGCCGCCCATAATTGTCCCCTCTTCCGCATCGATCTGTTGGAAACAGATATTCTCCGTAGACGGGTCAAATTCACCCAGTGGTGGTCGCTCCCATTGCTGGTCCTTCTCCGAATTGCTGTCCTTCAGCCCGTTGATATCCTGGGTCAGCTTCTCCAGAACCTCCGCCTCGAACTGACTCTTCTGGGGTTGGCTGGAGCCCGGAACTCGGCGCTGGCCATTTGTCGGGGGCTTCATAGCAGCGGCCGGGCCATTCTCTATCCTGCGCTTCTTGAGCGCACTGGGATCTGTTGCGACACCGCGAGGGTTATTTGATGCATCGCCCAGAACCCGCTTCTGGGGCATGGCGACGGCTTCAGGCATGATGAAGGGTCATAGAAAACTGAGCAGCCGCGTTTCTTTTTCTCCAATAATTAGAATGTGGGGATGTATACACAAAACGAAGTAGTTTGAACAATTGGGGGGTATTCTCTGGAAGAATGATGGCTGTCGCGGGAAACTGCGCTCCCCCGGAGTTGCTGCAAGGTCGTGTCTCGTTCGCGCCGGACGTGACGCCTTCACGCGTTGAGTGTCTCACGTGATTGGCTGCCGCGCATCGAGGTCGAGACTGCCGACTCTCCCACTGCTGTGGGGGGTCTTTAAACACCGCTTGTTATTATTTCCCGAATATTTAATTAGCGGATGGTAAACCAAAAATTCACCTTTGAATTGCCTTTATGTTCGAGCCATTATCTGCTCCATCCAGCGGACCTTTTTGCCCCCTCCCCTCGTGTCACTCAGTAGATGACGTCATGCAGATAAGCATAGACAGCTCGAAACCATCTATATAATGAAGATGTGCCATAATCAATTATGACTCGGTACTAGTATTTTAATATTGAATTGGAGGCCAAACACGGTTTATGTGCTCTGGGAGAATAGGCAGAGAGACTACCACAAAGGGGGTTCTACTATTGAAGTTCTTGCTGGTGGTGTTGAATATATATATATATATTGCTTCCACCAGGCACAGACTAGAGTACTACTAGACCTGTTTCCCCTTTACTAGAACATAACTTCAATACTAGTTAGTATTACTAGTACTATCCAGTAACTGCTAACCCAGATGGAAAAATAGTACATACAACTATCCAGAGTACTCCTTGATCATAACTGCTAGTAACCATGCCTTTGACAACGTCGGTCGAAGACCCTCGTCAGCCATAACACTGCCAGACATGGACCTTCAACAGAAATATACATTGGGAAAAGTCCCTTATAGGACCCTGTGCAAATACCTTCAATCCTGCAGACGATGGTGGATACCAAATAATGCTTTGACGACTGACAACTAGCTTACAACATCCTCACTGCATCTCTGGCAGTGTAACCAGATTACGCAGATTATGTTGTCTGCTACAGAGTTATATAGTGAGATATCCCCATCGAGAAGGATTGATGTATTGACTAAATAATAAGATAAATAAGACACTAGCTAAGGAATTTCTGGCTAGAGCTTGATCATGTACAAAGAAGAAGAATGTCTGAAATGTACACAAGAGTTACTGCCTCACAGACCGTTAGGCTATATGTGTTGAGAACGGGAATCGTTCCAGCTCGATTGATTTTCAGCTTGTCAGCTCAGAAGCGAAGCCATTGGTCCCTCTAGTAGCCACGGCCGTGACCCTTGTGGTGGTGCTTGTTCGAAGCCTGGACAGGAGCACCAAGACCCTGGGGGGCGGGGGCATCAGAGGGAGCTCCAGTGGGAGCAAGGTCGTTGGTGACCGTTCTCCAAGACCAGGAGGGCTGGCTGGGGACAGCAGAAGCGCCGGGGCCAGCCTCAGAGTAGGCGGGAACATAGGGCGCATCGTCAGAGTCGGCACGCTTGGCGACAGCAGAGGTGGCGGCCGCGCCAACAGTGCTGGAGGATCCAGATCCGTTGCTGAGCTTACCAATACCGGCGTTGGCCTTGACGTAGGAAGCAACCTTGCTAGCAGCCATGACGGTGACGTCGGACTCACCAGAGGGCCAGCTGCTGATCACAGAGCTGTCACTGCCGGAGAGAGTACCCGAGCTGATCAAAGTGTTGGGGACGCAAGTGCGTCCGAGGGTGCTGGTGCAAGTGGAGACATCGCTAGAGTTCACGGCGAAAACGGCGCCGGGGTTGCTGTCGGCCAAGAGAGGAGTGTCGACCTGGACCATCACATTACCCTCGATCAGAGCACGGGTGTTCTTGCCAACATCAAAGGCATGGCCGGTGTTGTTGAACCAGTAGTTGTTGTACGCGTGCCAGAAGCTGTTGAACTCGAGCTTGGGGGAACGGCCCGAAGTGTGGTGGATGTAGTTGTTGGCGAAGGTGATCTTGTCGTTGTGGCCGTATCCGAGACTAGATAGTGTTAGAAAGCTGTAACAATGGCAGATCACTTGGGAAGACATGGGACTTACACTGTCCAGTAGTGGTGGCCGTCGCAAGTGGCAGACCAGCTGGTCTCACCATCAAATTCGCTGTTCGAGATAGTCACGCTGTGACCTGCGCACCGTCAGATTCGAATCCAAATATTATGCATCTGATAATGAAAAACCTACTGGCTTCGTATCCGGCAACGAACATCTGACGACCGATGAGGTTGATCTTGACGTGGTCAATCCAGACGTTGTTGGTGCCGTCGAGGGTGATAGCGTCACCACCCCAGATGAACTCGGGGTTGAGCTCGGTGATGTGGATGTTCTGGATGATGATGTTGCTGACACCGTTCACCAGGCGCAGACCCTTTCCACGCAGGACACCAGAGCTACCAACGCCAACAATGGACTTGTTGGAGGCGACTTCCAGGCCCTCGATACCGGCGTTGTCGTACGTGCAGGTCAGGGTAGGGTAGCTACCGCACCAGTCGGAGCCATTCTGCTTGACGGCATTCTGGCCAGAGCTGCCGCAGGTGTTCGAGGCGGGCTTGCAGCACTCGCAGTTGGTGCACTTGCCCTCGCTGCCGAGGAAGTTGAACTCCTTGTCGATAAGGATGACGCGGGGGGTACTGTCAGACAACCAGGTCTTCAGCTGGCTGATGTCACTAGGCGCAGCAGGAGTGGCATCACCACCACCAGTTGTGCCGCTAGCGAAACCGAAGGGGGAGCCAGTGACACCCTGCGCTGCCTGGACCGAAGCCCCAAGCAAGGCAGTTGCCGTCAGGAGATGACGAAGGAGAGTCATTGCAACGAGCCTCAGAAATCGAGGTTATGGATATGAAAGGAATGACTGAACCAGCAGTTCTAAGAAAACGAATGTAAAGAATGTGAATCTGCGAAGTAGTTTGGTGATGGAAGCTGGATCAAAGCTGAGTCGAGAGGTAGTTTAATAGTTGGAGGCTCGAAGAACCTGCCATCGAGGGTTTGGGCTTGGCTGCCATGTGTGCACGGCAAGTTGGCGCGAACGTGGAAACAGCCATGTCAATCATGGCGGAGTGTGTCGCAGATTGATCATGGATCGCATGGTGAAACTCCCGGACGGGACAAATCCGCAGTCATCTTTCTGGATGCTTTTCTCCCGCCCGCCGATCGTGCAACGGTTTGAGCCCTTGTCCCGCGAGTCAAGACTGTTAAGTCTAACCCGGTACTTTATGACCCGCGCACAGTCTCCAGCTCGTCTGAGACACTGACGATCCTCAGTTCAATCCTTCCCCGAGGGAATCATGATTGGCACATTCCGTGGCAGTGGGAAGATAATCTAGTGATCGTCAGGATGAGAGGATCCACTGTGCCAGGCCTCAATACCCACACTTAATTGACCCCAGCAGATCGTCATGAACTCCTATTCAAGCTTATCCAGATTACTACTGGCTCAATACGCCATAATATACGGCTCTATATTTCGAATGTGCCGCGTGCTGCGGGGAGCGAAGCGCGCCCCATTTCTTCTGCATCGGCCAGATTAAACAACGCGGGATGACGAGTACAATATCCACATTCCGATTCTGGGCCCTACTCAAAGAAGACAGTGCCTGAATCGCGGTGATCAATCAGGCCATACTGCTAAACAAACCGGCTTCTGGAATCAGACGTCACAACCAGCTCTAAGGGGCGAAATAAGCTTGTCGGTCGGAAAGTGATATTAACCTCTGCTCCACCGAGAAGAATACCCAGTAGTCTCCGTCCACTCTTCATATCCAACCCGCACTTCATATTAAGTCGTGGAAGTTGATGGCGCGAGGGCATAGGTTGGGGTATCATCTGTGCAATGGTATTGGCGAGAGAGCGATAGTTGGTGCTCCAGATTACTGAGCCGTGTCTCACCCAACATACTTGCCGCCACTGCTTGATGTCGTGAGAATGGGACCAATTTGACTCCAAGAGCTGCTCGTCAGAAAGAGGTAGGGAAGCCAATATCCAAGGCCCAGTCTAGGTGAACGCGAACACTATGCCGAGGAAACCAACACCCTGATGATCGGTCAATTTATTTGCTGACGGATGTATGAGTCGCAATTGTCCGTCATAGCTAGACTTGCAGTCAATGGTCGGATGCCTTGTTATGCTCGTTATCATTGGCGGAAAAATACGGGCAAAGATGGATGCACCATGGCAGCACCGCATCCGGTAACACTGGTCCGGCATCGACGATAGACGCTTCGCATATTGCCAAACGGTGCGAGCGCGGGACAGAAAGGATGTAGCTAATTGATATGGCCGGATGATCAGAACAATTCGCTCGACGACATAACAATCACTCAATTGAGCTAGATACGAAGCGGGAATATCATGGGTAAAGCTCAGAGTACATTCATTGATGTTGTAGATACCCGAGGTGTCCTGAATTTGAACCTACTAAGGCGTCGCTGGCTTTCTAACCTCATGGGTGTGCGATTTTCCCTCAGCACGCAATGTCAATATTGCGACTATCTCGGATGACTATGGTACCATGAGGTGCATACTAACCATTAGCACTCTTCCTAGCCGATTTATATTGCCGTTGTATTTCCGTGGACTCCTACGGCAGCTGCAGTGGTAACTGTGGTCTTGAAACCTTCGCATCTTCTAAGCAAGCGTATCAGGCCAGCATATTAGAGGCTTCAGAGCGAAAGGCTGCAAAGAACTGAGGATTCGCTGGCTGTCAGCCTCAACCTTGGGGGTAAGGTGTGCCACATGCAAGGGTCTGCCACCAACTTCAGAACATAGTGCAGGGCTAGGGACCCTGTGGCCAGGCCAAGATCTTATGACCATCCCCCAAGGTACTCTGTCATTCAGATAGAATATAATGATAACTCTTCCACGCATGAAGTAGAGGTAATATGTATCTCAAACACCATGTCTTCGTTCGATCCAACAAATGTAAACTTAGACACTGCCAGCGTGGAGGACATCTACTGCTACTTGCAGTTGTCCGAAAATGACTACAACGGGCATCTAGGGGCACGCATATCCGCGATATTTGTGATCCTAATAACATCATCAGCGTCTACACTTTTTCCCGTGGTATGCAAAAGAATACCACGTTGGAATATCCCCTACCCTGTCTACCTCTTCGCTCGATACTTCGGTACGGGGGTTATTGTCGCCACCGCATTCATCCACCTCTTGGATCCAGCGTATGAAAGTATCGGCAGCACAACCTGTGTGGGCGTATCAAATCATTGGGCGGAGTATCCATGGTGTCCTGCCATTGTCCTCGCATCTGTTATGGTGGTATTTTTGATGGACCTTGCCTCCGAGGTATACGTTGAACGCGTATATGGCGTGGAAAAAGAGCATGACGCGACCGACCGATTCCTAGCCCAAGCAAACTTGATCCAGAGCGACGATGAGAGTACAGTCAACGAAGATGTCGGGGGTTCCAAGCAGCCTGGGGTTCAGGATGACATTTGCTCCGTTGAATCCGAGCGCTCATTCCGCAAAGATATCGCTGCCTTTCTTATTCTGGAGTTCGGCATTATCTTCCATTCGGTAATAATCGGACTGAACTTAGGCGTGACTGGTGACGAGTTCACCACTCTATACCCCGTGTTGGTCTTCCATCAAGCGTTTGAGGGCCTGGGGATCGGCGCCCGAATGTCTGCCCTGCGCTTTGGCCGGCATTGGTGGCTACCGTGGGTTCTCTGCATGGCGTACGGCCTCACCACGCCCATTTCGATCGCCATCGGAATCAGGCTGCGAACGACGTATAACTCGGGATCCAAGACAGCGAACATTGTCCAAGGAGTATTGGATGCTATCTCAGCCGGGATTCTGATCTACAGCGGATTAGTGGAATTGTTGGCTCGGGATTTCCTGTTCGACCCCGACCGGACTAAGCGGCGGTCGCATCTGCTGGGAATGATCTTCTGCGTATTGCTGGGAGCCGGCATCATGGCACTTATTGGGAAGTGGGCATGAGAGGGAAGGGAGAGTAGAATAGTTAGCAAGTACTACTTGAAGGTTGTGAGTTGCTGAGGGGGAAAGAGATGGGGAAACCAGGATTGTTTAGTTAAACATAAATTACTACGTAATATTAATATGACATTGTTACACAGTTCCACCCACGATCGGTTTTTGCATTACCCGCATCACTTTTTGCGATAGGCCCCCAAATCGACAATCTTCTCCGTAGTCAGCGGTGGCTTTGCCTGCATGAACAGAGGCAGCAGCCCTGTGCGGTCGGTATGAAGGGCTCAGTCCTCTCCGTCATCATCACCGCTCTTCATCTACACCATTTCATCATGTTGGTTGGGCTGACCATGGAGAACTCCCGACCAGCCTCATTATTTACATTATTTACTCTACCCTGAACAACACAACACTACTTCAAACTATCCTTCTACCCAAACTACCGCCACCAACACCGTCGCTTCCTGCTCCTTGCCGTCATGGGTAAGCCGAAACTGACACCGGAGCCCTTCGACCTGGTCGAACTTCTTCAACAAACTTACGATGACTCCCGCATAATCGTCTTCGTTTGCCTCATATCTTGGATCGTTGGCCGCCTCGACTTGGGATTAACATGGTTGTTCTTCGTCCTGGCGGTATGTCGAACTTATGCGGTCGTTAACCTGACCCGAGTTCAGCGCATCCTTCGCGATGAATGCAAGCGATACCACGCACATAAAATCCTCTCCCGCGGGGAATCTGTGGAATGGGTAAATGGTGTTCTGCAACGATTCTGGCACATGTACCAGACTCAGATATGCGACCATATTGTGCGCTACGTGAACAACGGGTTGGCGCGCCGGGCCATTACTGAGAACGGAACAACTCCGCAGAAAGTAGTGATTCAATCTTTGGCTTTGATCGACCTTCCCCTTCGATTTACTCGAGTGCTTGTGCATCAGAAACCCTCGTCGCCAAATCTGATCGTTGAGGGCCAATTTCAAGTGAACCTGGCACCGCATCCCACTCATCACCACCTTATCGAGACCTCAGGACACCCTCTCATTGATCTTACGATTGTTCATGATAAGAATTCAGGAGATTCTCACCACCGAAGTCATGACCTGGCGGTGCAGGTACGGCAGTTCAAGAGCACGGGATCCCTGAAGATGGAATTAGACCTGGAGGGTGACCATCCAGCTCTGCTACAGCCGCAGGTAGACCTTCAAGAGCACCCAAACATGGACTGCACCATCAAGTCGATCAGCCAGCATCACTTTCCGCTTCATTTTGCACATCATGTGGACTGGAGACGGGTGGTGGAACTACAGTTGCGGGAGGGGTTGGGCTGGGCATTTCACCGACCGCTGGCGCTGCCTTTCACTCTTGGGGAGCGGTGGCTATTTCGGGTAATGACGTGGTGGTGGCATGCTGTGAACTAGTTGCACTGGCCCAACATTTGGGGCGCAGGGATGAGACGCAATAATTGTGCAGGTCATAAATAGAGTCGTCTGGAGAAGAATCCCTGATTGGGTCGCTTGCCTCCCCCGGGGTGGGTGGATTTCCTCCGTAGGGCTGAGCTGGGCGGCCAATCCGAGACCGCCAAATGGTGTTGCCTTGTGTATTGCAAATACCACAGTACCGTCTTGGTCACGCTCGGGCAATCCCATCCCTTACTTCATCATCCATCAAAGGGGTCTTTGAGATGTCTCTCCAAAGAATTTTCCAGCAACCCCCTCAGCCACTTTTTCAAATCATTGGATGTCTTGTTCTATTTTTGACGGTGCCATGGTTTAATTTCCAGCGGTTTGATCTGGCCTGCCATACTCTGCCTGGCTGGGTAAATCCTCATCCGCGCAGTGTCCCTGAACCGGATTTCCAGATTTTCTGGGCCAGCAATGGTGGGGCTTGGATACCAACTTTGACTGTGCAACCGTGCACGTGAAACAATCTGATTGTTTTCTCAGCTGCATGACCGTTAAGGAGACCACCCTATAGTATACCAGGTATATCGCACCTGTCATGGGGTAGACACCCTGTACTAGTGCTTACCAGCGCTACCCCGCACATGAAGCTTCCGGCTTACGGGATTTGGTGTTCAGGACAAGTCAAGAATGAGATTAGAGACTTGCCATGGTGCCCGATTTGGTTTGATTTTGTGGCACTGATTTGAAATCAATTGAACATACATGAGACACAGTGGGCTGTTTGATCTGCATGGTTGTTTAAGCAGTGTGTGCGGGTTATTGTGCTTTATATTTAGATTCAGCCCGGTCAGGTGATCTCGATGGTGTTTCTTTCGTACTTCTCTCTCTATCCCTCAATCTTTCCCATCGTTGTGGGGCAAAAGAAACCATTGACATCATCAATAGTTTGAACAATCACCCATTGATTGAGCTGTCACTCGCTGGTCATTGTGTTGTATTATGTCCTCTTCCGATTATCTAACATGTTGTCGCCTGACTTTGTTCATAGCCCAGCCTTGGTAGAGCGTATCATTCATATCAACCCTTCTAACACAGCTTTAGTATTGAACCTGCTATTGATTTAATAGCGATAAAATCAGATTTCTATGAGATTTCGACAGCGTATCTCCACAAATGCAGCATGCTTTCGGACTTGGACGGATCGCCGATGGCCCGTGGATCTGGCGTGCATATTTCTTAACCTCAATGCGGATTGATTTTAAATGACTTAGACATATAATCCATACACTCCAAGTGACGCTCAACTATAACAACGACGCTTTGCAACTTGGCGCCTCCTTCAGTGAGGCTCTTGAACGCGGTGATAAGGGTTGTTGGGGGCTGAAACTTGCGCCTCTGACA